CAACTACTTTGGTCAGTAACAAAACTTGTTGAACCACTTAGCACCCCACAAATGTTTTATAGGTCATAAACATTTTGTCCCTGTTTGTTATGCGTGGTTTCTAGGCTACCAAAAGAAGCTGACATTTTACTTATAGAATCACTTCTCTTCAGAACCCTTTCAGATGTTCTCAACTCCTAACCCCACTTAATTTTCAACCTTTTTACCCCTCCTCTGGGGACGATAAGGAACTGCTTTTTAAAATTTCTTCATCTAAGGAAGTTCGAAGTCCTTCTCAAATATGACGTTGGGCTCTATTCTTTGCTTCCTGCTTCTTTCCTCCCCTGAGACCATAATCCCCTGTGTCACCCATGCTTGGTTACTGTGGCGGTGACTCATGTTACAAGTCATGGTTGAGATTTTGCATGGAAGGGAAATACAGGCAATGTACCCTGACCAGTCCACACCAGGCCCACAGACAAGGGGCCCCTTGAGATGAACACACATTGAAATGATGAAGCAACATGCAGGCCCAATGGTCTTCCTTTGCTTTGCCTTCCCAGGAGCCTCCTGTGTTTAATATGAGGAGGCAGCATTCACTCATTTCGTTGGGTCCATGTGAAATGAAGATTGTTCTTTATTTATAGTCTCTTGGGGTTTAAAGGAGTTGAGAACCTCATCTGTATGTGAGTCCTTCTTTGTGCTGAAACTGTATACTTTCTAGGAGTTTCTTTTCATGTTGAATTATGTTCTCATGCTTCAAAGTTAGAAAGAAAAGGCAGCAATTGTCACAAGCGCTTGGTGGTGTTTTGTCAGTCCGCTCTGTCCCACCAGAGAGTAAACTTTAGGGCAGGATGTGACCTCTACATATCCAGTCAGTACCTTGTATGTAAAAATGTTTGAACTTTTCTCAAAAAAAATGTTGACCCTTTGGAGTCGTCACTTCCCTGTACATGTCTGTTCTCTGGAATGTTTTAAAGGAAAAACATGTTTGTTTCAGCTGTAGGAAGGTTATATTTGAGCCATACCAATCAGCCCTTTACAAGTATGAGCCCCAGTGTCTGCAGGGATGCCCTGTGAGAATTCTCATTTCCCAAGAGCAGGAGCCATGGGGCCCTCACCCTGCCACATTCCGATGGAAGGGCCTCAGGGATCAGCTTTCCTTGTATTTGAACAACAGTGCATTTCTGAGGCAAACTGGTCCTGAGAACTGGGCATGGCTGGCTGGTTTTGGCTGCTCTCAAATTGACCACTTAAAAGCCCAGGAAATTTAACCCAGGAGATTTGACACTGTGGATCCAGGTCCTGGCTCCTTAGCCCAGGGAGCCTGGGTCCTACATCCTGCCTGTTGTCCTTCCTCTACCTCTGTCATTCTCTTCTACATTCCTTACTGTTCTCTTTTTTTTTTTTTAAATAAAATTTATTTATTTATACATACAAGAACTAGGGTATAGGCAAGAGGTGTTGGGGATGGTAAGAAGATTCACCAGACAGAGTGGGGAGCAGGACAGATAGATCTACTGAAATACACTGCTGAGGGGAGCAGTGATCCAGATAGGAGAGGTGTGCTGTGCCATGTGGGTTAGCTCCCTGGCCAGGGAACGAACTCATGCTGCAGTGGCTATGGATAGTTTCATAGTGTTGAGACTTAACCTCTTGTAGCACCAGGGAGGCCCATTCCTTACTGCTCTTAAGAAGACAGCTTTCTTGGAAATGTAGAAAACTTAAATGACTTTCTTTATTTTTAGTTATTGCCTTATGTTTGACAAAAAAAAGACCCTCATAAAACAAGCGAAAAGAAAAAGAAAAAGGGCACCCCCAAACAGTAGGGCAGCCTCTTTAGGTAATGTACATTTTTGTTTGTATATACCAGATCATCCTTCTACTGAGAGGCATGGAGGGGCAAAAGACTGAAGTTTTCTTTCCGGACCATTTGGGGTGATTTGAATTTTTATCTGTGTCTGTTATTATTTAAGATACAATTTATACGTTTCTTGTCACTTTCTGTTTTCAGAGAATTTTGAAGACCTGAATTTTCATTATAAGTAAAACTTGATTATTTGACCTTTTTTTTTTTTTGATAGGTTGCAGGTTTTTTTCAGAATATGTGCTTAAAAATTCATTTACTGTATTGGGATTATGGCTTTCTCTCTGTACTCTGCCCTTTGGACTAGGAAAATCGACCCAGCCCTGACTTCTGAGATAATTCACACTTTCTGGTTTGAACACACCCAAGCTGCCAGCATGTGCTCTGTGACCATGCCTGGACTTCATTACTTATGAACTATATCCGGGAGGTGCCAAAATGGACAGAAACACTTAAAAAATTGAATTGATGCTTAAATGTTAAAACCCACAAATGTGTTCGGCTCTGGGATGTCTAGGTATAAGACATTTACAGTTCATGACTTTCTCTCTTTCTCTCTTACTTTAGCTCCTGCTGAAGCTGTCATTGAATTTAATGGTAAAGAAAATATTAATAGACAAAAAATCCCTGTCTTCCTTTCCAGCTTTAGTAAGTTGTGTGCAGGTTTTTAAAAAACCTGAACTTCTGCATAGATGCTTACCTGTCCCTGATTCAGTCTGATTTTGCCCTCCTTAAATAGCCCTGTGACTATTCTTGGCTACCTGGTGTTTGGCTTTAGGTTTGCTTAGGAAAATAAGTGGCAATTGGTGAAGTAGCCATACCTCCTAGTGATGTTGGAAGTTTCCAAAACAAATCCCACTTTTTGTGCCCAGAGATTAAACCTGCACATCATGTAATAATAGGCCCTTAGGGAGGATTCTAGAGTTGCTTGTAGCATTGCTCGAAATAAACAGACTTCGGATGCTTTTGGAAAGGCAGGCCTAGTCCCAGGAACTATGAAGAGGTATTCTTTAAAGGTCTTTGCATCCCCTGGGAAGGCGAACAGAAGAGCTGTTGGAGCTGGGGAACATGTTCTGGGCTCCCCTCCACGGGTGGAGAGGTGAAGGCTTTACTTCCAGCCTGGTCATCTGAGCCTCATTTCGACTTCAGCACTTCCCCTTTTCAATTGGTATTTGCAATAGCTAACCTACCTTAATCACCAAGGCTACGATTCAACACATGATTGTCTGAAGAGAAAAATTCAAATAATCCTTTCTACCTCTAAGTGACAAATATGCAAACTATTTCAGGCGTGGATCTGGAATATGTATTGAGAAGACACTAGTCTGACGGGTGACGTTATCTGTGAAGACCTTGCATTTCTCAGTCTGCCTCTAGCTGTGGGTCGTGGATTTAAAAACCAGACGAGTTCTCCTAAAGGTCCAAAACTGTAGCTGACATTTTTCTCTGATCTTGGCTGTATTTTGTTAATCCAGTCTAAATTCTTGCTGACTTGTATACTGGAATTTATGTAATCTTACGATTTATGGTTGGCAAGCTGTGGCGGGGTTTCCCCCTTCTTTTACCTTAGGACATTTGAATTAGAAGCTTAAAAGTTCCTCACAAAGAATTAAAATTTGAGCCCTTCTTTCTGTGTGCTGCAAAACATGGCAAATGAAGATAAGTTAGGAGAGAGTGTGAAGTGTAGGAATCTTGGTATGAAAGAACGAATTGGAGCTTTGCAGAAATGCAGAGCTGATTTTGAATCCTGACAACACCCCTTAACAGTTACAAGATTCTGTACCAATGACCTAACTTGTGAGCCTCAATTTCTTTTTCTGTAAAATGAGTATAATATCCACTTTGTGTCATTCTTGTGAGACTTAAACAGGTTTGTTTCCAAGAGTTATAGATTCAACACTGTCGAAGGTGCCATGTAGATGCTGGGTTTCTGTTTTCCTCTGCTCCTTCTCCTTGGAGTGCAGAATGAGCTAAGATAGTGTGGGCAGTGATCTGCCCTGTGAACAAGATAGGCTGAACATGAAAGAGGAAATTGTGCTTACTTGGGTGAAACCATCATTTCCTTAATGCCCACGCCCTCCTCTCTGAAGTAGGTCACTACAAAGAACTTCACAACGTGGGCTTTCAGTTGGTGAGGGTGACCCTGGGGATGGCTGTTAATATACCAGGTGTTTGGAGTTGTTTGTCCTGGTCTGGTCATGCTACGAATCAGACTGACATTCTTGCTATACAACAAATGGTAAATGTCAAGGGCAGATTTCCTTTCTCTGAAGTTTGTCTTTCAATAGCGTTGGACTGATATATCATTTGCCATATCTTGTAGTAGTTTGCAAATGCTCATGTGAAATACTTGAACAGTGTATGAAGTGTTCCCTTTTTTGATTATTAAGCTAGGGAGGAATACCTCTTTTATTTTCTCATTTTTAAAAATTGTGGCAAAATATACATAACAAGATGTACCTTTTAAACTATTTTTAAGTGTACAGTTTTGTGGCACTGAGTACATTCACAGCATTGTGTAGCCATCACCACCATCCATCTCTGAAACTTTTTTATTTTCCTCAACTGAAATTCTGTACCCACTAAGCACTAACTCCCAGGCCACTCCCTCACCTAGTCCCTGGCAACCACCATTCTATTTTCTGTCTCTATGAATCTGACTACTCTAGGGACTGCATATAAACGAAAGCATAATATTTGTCATTTTGTGGCTGGCTTACTTCACTATTTAAAAAACATGCTTTACTGTCATATTTTCCATTTTTCTTTGGAATGTACTGTTCTATAGACTGCTAATTTTCTCTGCAATTTCCTTGTAAATTTACACTTTATCTTCTTATCAGTTTTGTGTATTATCTTTGTATTTCTTAGTCTATTGAAGGAAGATACCCATCATAGGAAATATTTTAATGGAATTTTATTTTTATTTTTAGAAATAGTTCTTTGTTGACTTGTTAGGTGGTTATGCACTAGGCACAGAATCTGAGCCTATCTTTGCCCAGTAGTTGTTCTTCTGAAGATAAAATGTATGTTCTGTTTTTGTTCCCCATAAAAGGTTCGTAGTAGCATTGTGGAGAGACCATTTAATGGGAATTGTGAATATTGTTTTAGGCTCTTTAATTCAGTAGTGACCACTCAACCTTCCTCCCTGCAGGTGGTATACCTTGAAATCCAAACCAGGAAAGAAGGATAAAGAGCGAGGAGAAATTGAGGTTGACATCCAGTTTATGAGAAACAACATGACTGCTAGCATGTTTGACCTTTCCATGAAAGACAAATCTCGGAATCCACTTGGGAAGCTGAAGGACAAGATCAAGGGGAAGAATAAGGATAATGCATCAGACACAGCTTCAGCTATTGTCCCCAGCACGACACCCTCAGTTGACAGTGATGATGAGTCTTCGAAAGACAAGAAGAAGAAGTCAAAGATCAAGACCTTGTTTTCCAAGTCAAATTTGCAGAGAACACCCCTTTCCCAGTCCATGTCTGTCCTGCCTACTTCAAAGTCAGACAAAGTCCTGCTTCGACCTGGGAACTTTCAGGCCCAGTTGGGGGATGATGACAATGAGGATGTGTTTTCTTCTGCCTCAGACAGTGAGTTTCCTCTTTCTCCTACTTACTGGACTTCTGTTACTCAGTTTAGCCTACTTTGCTTTGAGAGAGAAAAAACAAACAAATCCTAAAAGAAAGATTTTACTTCAGCTCCTCAGTTACTAAAATGATCATGATGGTAGTCGTATGGTAAGATGGCAGTGATGGTACAGGTGGTGATGATGATAATGGTGGTGTTGGTGGTAATAATGGGTGATTGTAGTTGGGAAGTCACTTTTTCTAAGTCCTCTGGTTATAAAGGATGTATAAGCTCCTTTTTAAAATGTCTGGTTCTGAAATTGATATGTACAAGTTTGAGCCTTTGGAGCTAACAGAATTGAGTGTATCTTTTTTAAAAGGTAAAATCATGGAATCACATAATATTTTTGCTATTTCATAACCTCATCAAGTATTTATTGAGTTGCTATTAATGTAGTTAACATTAACACCCCTAACAAAAATCAAGGAATCCAGTTACCTTAACTCTGAATTGACTGTCAATTTTGAGCTTCAATTTCAGTGACCAAATCCCTGCTACTGACCAGATTCTGCTATTTTACCAAGAACGTGCCCTTTTTTTGGATTAATTCAGGGTTTCCCAAGCTTAGCATTACTGATTGTTTGGGCAGGATAATGCTATGTGATGGGGGGTGATCCTGTACATTGTAGGATCTCTAGCAGTGTCCCTGTCCTCTACCTGCTAGATACCAGTAGCACACCCCCCCCCCCATCAATGCAATTGTGACTGCAAAAAATGTATTCAGACAGGGACAAATGCCCCATCTAGTTGCAAACCATTCATTTAACTTCTTATTCCTTTTCTGTTCTTTGTCTTTCTTCTTCTAGTCATGTCTCACAAGAGAACAGCAAGTGCAGATCCTAAGCACCTCAACCAGATCAGCTTCACCCTCCCCAAGAAGGATGGACTCTCGTTTCTTGGTGGCCTTCGGTCTAAGAATGACCACCTTTCCCGCTCTAATGTCTGTATCAATGGGAACCATGTTTACATGGAACAGCCAGAAGCGAAGAGTGACACCAAGGACAGCCCCCGATCTTCCACCCCATCTCCCCAAGGTTTAAGGAAGAAGCATTTGTTCTCATCTACAGAAAACCTGACTGCTCACTCTTGGAAGGAACCTGAGGACAGCAGTGCACTTTCTACCAACAAGCAGGCCCCTGTGTCTTCCACAAAGGACTCCCTGAAATCCATGACTCTGCCATCCCAATGGTCACCGGTCAGCGATGACATTGGGGAAAACTTGGAGACCGCAAAAGGAACCAAAGAGAGCAAGAAGCAGGAGAACAAGAAGTCCTCCTTGCTTTCTCTGGTGACAGGAAAGAAGGATGTGGCTAAGGGCAGCGAAGATGAAAACCCTTCAGCCATCTTGGGGAAGGAGAAGGAAGTCAAACTGAAGGAGGATGACTCTATGCCTGTTGAAGACCTTGTGAAAAGATCTGAGAAAGATCCCGTGGCTGTTGTCTCTGGACGAGGTAAATCCCTGGGACCTTTTGAAGAAGTGCAGAGCGCAGAGCCGGAAGCAGACCCAGAGTGGAAGTCAGAACCTTCACTACCTATGACCTCTGCCAGGGCTCCCCAGACCAAAGCCGTCAAACCTCGGTGAGTCTGGGCCCTTCTGGTTATCAGTCAGACCTACTATCAGAGCGAATTTTGCTTGTTGATCAGTTGGTGGCACCTGTATATGCCAAAGGTTTACTTGTCCAAGTTGTTTTTTACTAGCCCCTATTGCCCATGGGGCCCAGCCTGCACAAATTGCAGTGATGTGTCCCAGCCCAAAGCCACGGACAGCTGGCCTGGTTGTCCTTCTCAAGGATCACACCCCAGTAGAATGCCAAAGTGTGAGCACATTCTGAGTTTTACAAGTTGGGAACACTAGATTTGGGCTGTGGTAAGTGCAGAACCTGTGTTTTTTAAGTTCATATCACATATTTCTCTTTTAGGCAGATTTTATCTTTCCTCCTTGCACTTTGGCATTGGCTGGCTGGCATGAGAGACCGGTGGTGCACTCTTGAGTGTGCTTGTGACAATTCTCTATATATTTACTTTGCACCTGATTGCAAGAACCTGAGTGAACCTTGAGGAATTTCTGCTTTTCAGCATGATTCACATTCACACTCATGATATTTCTGTTGTCTGGGGAGGGAAAGGCCTTTTTTTTGAGATTCTGCATACTTGATTTCACACACACACACACACACACACACACACACACACACACACACACCAGTTTCTCTTCAAAATCTGTGCCTGTAACCTAATGGTGTGTCTTTTACTGCTTTGATCTTTTTACATGCTTTTTGTTTATCACCAAAAAAAATCACTATAGGCTGTTGTTTTACCTGGATCTTTCTCTGTCTGTTGCACCAGCTGTTTGTGTGGCAGATGTGCTTGGTGATAAAAATGTCCCTGTTGTATGTTAAGCATTAGTGTTCCTTTCTTAACTTCTTAAGGTACTGCCCCAAATATGAAAGTTCTCCCATTTTGAGCGACTTTATTTTTACATTTTTTTTTTCCCCTCCCATGGTACGTCTGCAACTGACCTGCAGATTTTATTTTGTCCTTTTTGCAGACTGGAAGTGTCTCCAGAGGCTCATCCCGCAGCCAGGCTTCTTTCCTCCCCTGATTCTCTTCTTTTGTTTCCTGTTCTGTCTTCCAATTCTGATCAGACACCTGTCCCTTCTAAACTGGGGCATGATTCAGACATCCCATCCTCTGAATGTCCTTCTTCCTTCTCCTCTTTCTCATCTCCTACAGCAGCTCCCATTTCTACATCTACTCCGATTAAAAACTGGCCTTCCACAGACAAAGGCCAGGCCAGGTCTGAAGAAGCATCTTTGCTTGTTAAAACAGAGTTGCAAAAGGATAGTTTAACCCTAGTTCCAAATACTGCTTCTTGCACGTTGGGTTCACTTTCCAAAGAGCCACCCATTCCAGTGTGTGAAGGGACAGGATATTCTTCAATGGGGAAGACCAATGAAGAGAATACCAGTGCCAGTGACTTAGAAAAATCTTTCCTGAAAAGGCCTGAAGTGGGGCAACAAGAAGAACTTCTGGAATTTTCTTCCAAAAAACAAGACTCTCTCTCTTCTTCCAAAGAGACCCAAGAGGGAACATTTGCTCTTTCACTCACAAGTGGCAGAAATGAAAACCAGACTGGGAGGCCTCTGATGGGGGAAAACACAGACTTTGAGGGTCAGTCCAGGTCTTTTGTGGGGAACAGAGTTAGGACTGGCAAGAGGACTTCTGTAATTAAAGAAGCTTCGCCCCTTCTTCCAATGGAAGAATCGGTCTCCCCACATGATTCCATGATTCAGAAACATCAGGAAATAGGTCTGAATGTCAGTGAGGGCAGAAAGAAAACCAAAAAACGTGTGTCATTTTCTGAGCAGCTCTTTGTGGAAAAGGATGTGGAGAAGTGCCCTGGATTGGTTGAAGAGGACAGAAGTAACCCCCAGGGGCTGGCCCATGAAGGCACTGTGGCTGGAAATGTGTCTGAGGGGGAGCCTTCTGTGTCCCTCCACACAGAAGACTCTGAGAGGGAAGCTGTGACTGAGGCCGCCCCTGTGGCAGGTCACCTCCCTTTCCCCTCTCATGAGGAGTCTCTCTCAGAAGGCCGTGTGAGTGGGGAGGCAAGGGCAGGGAAAGACATCCTACTCTTTAGGACTGAGGGAGATGACACCCTGATGGTTCAGAATCAAAGCAAAGCCAGTGATCACGAAGGCTTATTGTCTGATCCCCTGAATGACCTTCAGTCTGCCTCAGATCTTAAGTCTCCAGTCATGGCAGATCTGGATTTAACCCTCCCTTCCATTCCTGAAGTCGCATCGGATGATGAAAGAATAGATCAGATTGAAGGTGACAGAGAGAGATTGGAGGTCGCCACTCCAGAAGTAGAAGCTTCTTCCTCAAGCACATTACTGTTACCTGCCCACCCTGGAAAGGACAAGGGGCCAAGTGGTGAGGGCGAGGCTAGTGTGCCGGCAGTACCCCCAGAGAGCCTGCATGAGCTCAGTCCGAAAGCACCCAAAGCATATGTTATGACTTCTTCAGAGCAGACTACAAGTCTAGGAATTTGTACACCAGATCTTGGCAAGAGCTCAAGCCTGGATAAACAGCTGCCAGCCCCCGGCGGTGGTGAAGAAGAAAAACTGTTGGGAAGTGGGAGGCCCAATCAGCCTCCTGATGTGGCCCTGAAGTGTCCTGTGTCCAGATCCTCCTTTTCTGAAACCTTTCCTTCCATACACTCTTTTCCCAACTCTCCACATTCTGACACTCACCACGCCAGCACAGCAGAATCTCAAAAAAAAGCAACAGCAGAGGGCTCCGCTGGTAAAGTGGAAAATTCTGGCAAGAGGAAGCCGCCGCTTCAGGCCTGGGTTTCACCTTCAGAGTCACATCCAGTCTCAGCTCAGCCGAGTGCTGGAATTGGGTCATCCAAGCACAGGTGAGATTGTCTCTATAAATGAGAAGGGTGCCTCCCTCTTCCATTTTTTTTCCACTTGCAGAGTTTGTGGGTCTCTAGTAGCACAGATGTTCTTCTGGTACAACCCACCTATTTTGCAGGTGGGGCTATTTAAAAAGGGGTGACCTTCCCTGTGACGGGAATGCCTAAGACACTCTGTAGCATGAGGGTAGCAGTCTCCAGAGCATAGTTTAGGAATCATCCAGGGGCAGATCTGGAGCTCTGACTGCAGAGATGTACTGTGACCAGTACCATGACCAATACTGTGATGGTCTCCAGCACCCACTGACATTGAGTGGCACGACCTAGTGGTGGTAAACTTCCTTCAAACTCCGCCCGAAGTGAAGCTGGTGTGTTTGTTCTGAACTCTCTACCATTGAGGCACAAGGAGGCTCTGCAGGGGCTCCCACAGAGGCTGTAAATATCTGTAGAAATGAGACTCTCTTGAATGCATTCGTACAAGAACAAGGGTCTGGTAAGAAGGTAAAGAAAGACACCTTGCTGAGGGTGTGTTTTGTTAACATGCAAATGGCTTCCTGGTGCTGGCTGCTTTTATTCTGTAAGGACATCGGCACATGTTGGACCCAAGAGATAAACAATGCATGTGTCCACTCTCCCCCTTCTCTTTCTGGCTGGCATCTTTGAAATGAGTAGTTTCTTAGTTTTATCATCTCAGAAAGGTCTAAGGATCCTATCTCCCTTCTCTTTAGACTTCAGCCTGTGAAGCCAATGAATACAACTGCCACCAAGATTGCTAACTCCAGCTTGGGAACTGCTACCATCATCAGCGAGAACTTGATCAACGAAGCCATGCTGAAGGTATGTCTTAAAGAAGTAGCTATGTGACCTGGGCATCTCCACAAAACCCATTTCCAGAGCCACTGAGTCACAGTTAGGTGTATCTCCTTGCAGATTATAACCATATGTCTATGTCTTTGGAAGCCTCTGCCCTTCCCTTGAATGACACTTTCCCCCTTTACAGTTATTTAGTTTTTGTTGAATTTTTTTTGTGCCTCAAGCAACATGATTGACATGGACATTCGTTTTTTTTTTTTTTGTTTTTTTTTTTAAATAATAAATTTTATTTTTATATTCCACATACAATTGCAGCCCCCCCATTCTGACCCCAATCCCTCCCCTCCCGCCCCTCACCCCCAAAAAGTGTCTCTGGTTCATAGTTTTTTGTTGATTTTGATTTTCACTTTCTTATAGTTATTCATTCTCCTGGTCCCTTATTTAAGTTTTCTAGATTCCTGCTATGAGTGAGACCATCCGGTATTTTTCTTTTTCTTTTTGGCTTATTTCGCTGAGCATGATCCCTTCCAGCGCCATCCATGTTGCTGCAAATTGCATATGTTTATCTTTTTTGAATGCTGAGTAATATTCCATGGTATATATGTACCACATCTTCTTGATCCAGTCATCGATTTTTGGGCATTTGGGTTGTTTCCAAAGCTTAGCTATTGTAGACAGTGCTGCTATAAACATAGGGGTGCAGGTGTTCTTTGGAATTGATGTTTCTGTGTCCTTTGGGTAAATACCTAGGAGTGGAATTGCTGGATCATATGGAAGCTCTATGTTTAGTCCAGAAATCTCCACACAGCTTTCCACAGTGGTTGGACCAGTTTGCACTCCCACCAACAGTGCAGAAGAGTTCCTTTTTCTCCACACCCTCGCCAACATTTGTTGTTGCTAGTTTTTTTAATATGTGCCATTCTCACTGGTGTAAGATGGTATCTCATGGTAGTTTTGATTTGCATTTCCCTGATGACAAGTGATGTTGAACATTTTTTCATATGCCTGTTGGCCATTTGCATTTCCTCTTCAGAGAAGTTTCTTTTTAGCTCTTCTGCCCATTTTTTGACTGGATTATTTTCTTTGTTGTTGTTGAGTCTCATCAGCTCTTTGCAGATTTTTGTGATCAGTCCTTTATCATTAGTGTTGGGTGCAAAAATGTTCTCCCAGTTGGTGGGGTTTCTCTTTGTTTTTGTTATTGTCTCTTTTGCTGTGCAGAAGCTCTTTAATTTGATGTAGTCCCAGCTGTTTATCTTTGCCTTCACTATCACTGCTTTGGGTGATGTGTCTGTAAAGATGTCTTTGATGTGCAAATCACGTAGTGTTTCGCCTATATTTCCTTCTATGTATTTTATGGTTTCAGGTCTTATGTCTAATTCTTTAATCCATTTTGAGTTGATTTTTGTGTATGGTGTGAGGTAGTGGTCAAGCTTCATTCTTTTGCATGTAGCGACCCAGTTTTCCCAGCACCATTTATTGAACAAACTTTCTTTGCTCCAATGCATAGTCTTTGCTCCTTTGTCGAAGATTAGTTGACCATAAATCTGTGGGTTTATCTCTGGATTTTCTATTCGATTCCATTGGTCTGTATGTCTGTTCTTGTTCCAATACCATGCAGTTTTGATGATTATGGCTTTGTAGTATAGTTTGAAGTCTGGGAGTGTGATGCCTCCATTCCCTTCTTTTTTTTCAGGAGAGCTTTGGCTATTCGGGGTTTTTTGTGATTCCATATGAATTTCATCAATAATTGTTCTATTTCTTTGAAGAATGACATTGAAATTTTGATTGGAATAGCATTGAATCTGTATATTGCTTTTGGAAGGATGGCCATTTTAATAATGTTTATTCTTCCAATCCATGAGCAGGGGATATCTCTCCATTTCTTTGTGTCTTCTTCTATTTCTTTTAACAGTGTTTTATAGTTTTCTTTGTATAGGTCCTTTACCTCTTTTGTTAGATTTATTCCCAAATATTTGATTTTTTTTGTTTCAATAACGAAAGGGATGGTTTTTTTGATTTCTTCTTCTTCAGATTTATTGTTTGTGTATAGGAAGGCTACTGACTTTTGCGTGTTTATTTTGTATCCTGCCACTTTACTGAACTGATTGATGAGTTGAATTAGCTTTTCTGTGGAGTTTTTGGGGTTCTCTATGTATAATATCATATCGTCTGCAAATAGTGATAGTTTGACTTCTTCTTTTCCTATTTGGATTCCTTGGATGTCTTTCTCTTGTCTTATTGCCCTGGCTAGGACTTCCAGTATTATATTGAAAAGCAGTGGTGAGAGTGGACATCCTTGTCTTGTTCCAGATCTTAATGGAATTGCTTTCAGCTTTTCACCATTGAGAATGATACTGGCTGTTGGCTTGTCATAGATGGCCTTTATGATGTTAAGGTATGTTCCTTGTATCCCAAGAATTTCAAGGGCTTTTATCATGACATGGACATTTGTTAATGAGAAGAAAATGTCATCCACCATCTGGCCCTTTCAAATTGGGTATTTTCATTTTCCCATGCTTTTTTATCTTTTGGCAAGAATGTAAAATTCTTGTAGTTGTATCATTGCACAGATGTACTTTTTTGTAACTTTATTTTGAAATAAGTTAAAACTTTAAAAAGTTGCAAGAATAGGACAAAGAACTCCTGTTGGATAGTAGGTTTCCTCTAATCTGTGGTTTCACTTTCCACAGTTTCATTTACCATGTTCAACCATGGTTTGAAAATACTATGCAATATGAGATATTTTGAAATATCTTTATTGCAGTATATTGTTGTAATTGTTCTGTTATTAGTTATTGTTAATCTCTTACTGTGCCTCATTAATAAGTTTAACTTTATCACAGGTGTGTATGTATAGGAAAAACATGGTATGTGTAGGGCCTCCTTGGTGGCTCAAGGGGTTAAGACACAACCTATGAGGCTATCCACAGCCACTGCAGCACAAGTTCGATCCCTGACCAGGGAGCTACCCACATGGTGCAGCAGACCTCTCCTGACTCGCCCACTACTCCCTTCAGCAGTGTTTTCAGTCAATCTGCCTGTTCTGTCCCCACTCTGTCTCTGATGAATCCTCTCACCTTCCACACCTCTGGCCTGTACCCTAGTTCTTGTATACATAAATAAATACATTTTAAAAAAAACAACAACAAAAAACATTGTATGTATAGGATTCAGTGCTGTCTGAGGTCTTGGGCATCCACAGAGGTGGTTGAGATATATTCCTCAGAGATAAAGGGCGACTGTTCTACCTTTCCTCCCACTGACCAGTTGTTGACATTTTACCAGTTTTGCTTTATCATTCTCACACCCTCCCTCCCTTTTTTCTCTTTGTATGAACATAGAGATGCATACATAATTTTCTTTTCTGAACTATTTGAGAGTAGGATGCATACATGATGCCCCTTTTGCCCCTAAATACTCCAGTGTGTAATCCCTACGAGTAAGGGCATTTATCAAAATGAAGAAATTTAACATTGATATAATTACTCATCTCAAATTATATTTCAATTTCACCAATTTTGCCAGTGTCCTTTTTAATTTTTTTTCCCTCTTGCCCAAGATCCAATCCGGGATGACTTGTATTTAGCTGTCTTGTCTTTATAGTCTCCTTTATTATGAAATAGTTCTTCAGTCTTTTTTTTTTCAATTGAGAAATAATTAACATATAAGATTATAGATCACATTGGTTCAGGATCACTTTGGTTTCACATTGATTTGATATTTGTGTACATTGTGAAATGATCGCCACAATAATTCTAGTTACCATACAAAGTTAACTTTTAGGGTTTCCCCCGCCTTAGCCGTTTTTGTCTTTCAAGATATTGACAATTTTGAAGAGTTGTTTCATGGTTTTCTTCATTTTGGATTTGTCTGATCTTTCCTCATGGTGTCCTTCTCAGGCACTGTATAAAGAGGTATATGGTATCAGTTTGTCCCATCAGTGGGGGTGTTCACACTGATAACTTAGTTTGGGTGGTTCCTACCAGGTTCTCCAGTGTGAAGTTGCCATTTTCCCTGTAATATTAATAAGAAATTTATAGGGAATTAATGCAGACTGTGGAAATACCCTGTTCCTCATCCTCCTTTCATTTATAGGCTTCAACATCCATTGGTGAATATGGTGGTTACAAAATGATGATTTTGCAGCTTTTCCACCTGCCTGGAAACACTTTTAAATTCTCTTTTTTCACCTAGTGGTGTATAATAAGCATTTTTGCATGTTGCTACTACTCTTTAAAATGATTATACTACTACTTACTTAACCATTCCCTTATTCTTGCATATTTCGGTTGTTTTGCTTTTTTATCATGAGTAACACTATGGTGAACATGTTCTTGCATAGACCTTTCCCTCCTTTGTGAGGTTATTTCCATAAGCTAACTTTCCAGGAAGAATGTCGCTGGATTAGAGGAAGCTTGGGCTAACTTTGGAAAATAACTCTTTCCCACAAAAACAAAACCAAACTTCCAGATGATGTCTGCTTTAGAGTGACTTTATCCTGCCCTTTCTGCTTCTGAAGTCAGAAGGATTTAGAATATTGCGTAGTTGTAAGCCCCTGGTCTTTGATTATCGCACGGACTAGGGGAGAATGATTTACTGAACAACCAGTGACACTAGTGGGTAAGGATGTGCTGTACTGCAAATATGTGGAGAGGAACTTCCTGAGAACTGAGGGGTAGAGTCTGTAGAGCTAAATTTATTTCTATGTTAGTTCAGAGAATCTAAAGGTTTCATTCATCACAGATTTTATAGCCCCATGGTTTCCAGGACATCAAATAGTTTTTGCTTTTTAAACTTGTGGTCACATCTTCATTCCTGCAGGCAATTCATTTTTTTTTAATGCTTGGGTGGTTGTTAACGCCTCTGGTTCACTGCACCTATGGCATGAGGAGTGGGTCTGAAAGCTGGAGAACTAAGTTCCAGGTAAAGAAGCTCAGTGGAAGTGAATAGTTGCTTAAAGCAAGTTAATGTTTCCCAGTCCTCTTGTCTTCTCTTCAGTAGTACTGTTGACAGGGTAGTGGTAA